ATCACAGCCTGTAGCTCGGATTCGTCGGGTAACATTCAAATAACCTTTTTAAACGACAGTGTGCCATGCCAAATAGAACGAAATTAGTACACGAAGCAAATTAGAAACATCAGGGCAGTAGCTAACCGTATGAAGTTAAAACTCTACACGATGACAGTAGTTTGACCCGTGTTTCTCCAAGGTTAACTAATAGTCTGTTTACGAGAGTGTGTACTGCACCTATTGTCATCTAATAGCTGCTGCGAAAGTTATCTCTTGAGGGGGCACGGCGAGCACGTATTGGACGCGAGTATTGAGTCAGCGTTCGTCGCGGACTCGGGACCAATCACACGTTCGCGCTGGAAGCGAAGCCAAAAACGTGGGGTCCGACAATGTTGCCTGATAGGATTTGTTTTGTCCCATCTCAGGTGCTGCGGTTTGAGCATAACTTATCATCGAAAACGCTCTGTTCTATCTCATACGTACACTATACGGATCGTAATCTAATTTCTTTTTAATAAATTATACTTCTGATAAAATATCAGATCAATGAATTATTTGTATGCAGTCTTGAAAGGGAATATATTATATTGATACTATAATATTACGACACTTGTTTAGGTGTTTTCAGTTACTTGAAGAGACATTCAAGGTATATGTTCTTAGAGCACCTCAGGTAAGATAACATTAAAAAAAAAATTTTGGTTTATATATTATACAAGTCCGGGAACTTAAAAACAGTATTTTAGGCGTTACCGAAAAAAGTAACAAAATACGTTAAGCGTTACTTGCAAATAAAAGTGACGCGTTACGGACTTACGTTACCTATAAAAAAAAAAGGAACGCGTTATCATTACTGTTAACAATAAAAAGTAACGCACGTTACTTTTGTGTTACTTGTTTTAATTATCAACTACCACGCTTTACTGTTTAGACGGTACAGGTATGCATAAGCGATCAATAAACATTATGTTCATGCAGAAAGATTACTTTCTTTTTTCTAAAGCTTCACCTAAATACTTACGAGTGCGCAAAAAAAAAAAAAAAAAAAAAACACCGAAAACTCAGAAAGCCCCAAAACTCAGAAAGCGCCTAAAAAAAAAAATAAGTGCAACTTTTTTACGTATTTGGAAGAAGTAACGAGTGACGTAACTACGTTACACGTCACTTGAAATAAGTAACGTAAGTACGTTACCCGTTTTATGTTTTGAAAAAGTAACATGCACGTTACTACATAACCGAAAAAAAGTAACTCGCTGCCCGTAAGACCGTTACTTGTAACGCGTTCCCGCCAACACTACTTAAAAGACATGGTAGCTGCGATTTGGTAAAAAAGAAATACAAGAACGCCACGTTTTCGTCGGGAGGAAGGCAGGTGCGTTGTTAAATATTTAAAGCTACAAGAGAAGAGGTCCGCCAGGTTATTACATTATGCGCATTCCTGTCTCGTTCTTCTTTATTTTAATCAAATGTAATTGCTCGTGCGTGCACTACTTAACAAAGACTCTAATGGGAAACGCGAAGCCGAACTCCTTTTATAGCGCTTTCTCGAAAAAGTTGAATCACCTGCACGTCTTGGCGTTCGCGTTTTATTTCCTCACCAAAAGAACCACCGCGAAAACACGGTTAGCATGCGCGAAGCTTGCTCTAAAAGAAGTGCCAGACAAAATAAAAATGGCACAAGAAGACAAGGCCGAAGGCAGAAAACAAAAAACAGGACGAACATTCTCCAGAGGAGCATGATTCAAGACGGAGTAACCGTCGCACGTTACTAAATATCTCGTTTATTGTTTCCTTTGATAAAAAATAACACTTATAAAAAAATATTTAAAAAAGTGGGCATAGGTACGCGTGAGAAGAACCGTTAATTAGGGCGTACCGAAGCCGGCCGCCAAAAACGTGTTAAAGTAATTCATTGGCGCAATTTCTTTTTCGGAGAAGCGCGGTTGCAGGCCAGCCGTGAAACGCGCAAATTTTTCAAACGAGGGATCAAGCGTATATAGCTGCCGCGTCTTTGGTTGCAGGTCTTTAAGCTTTATTGCACGCACACACACACGCACGCACGCGCAGACACAAACACACACACACAAATATATATATATATATATATATATATATATATATATATATATACATAATAAAACGCTCTAATAATCAGGATAGATACGTGAGCCTTGTAATCAGATTTTGATGCCCGTCGGGTTTCGTTTAACGCTCGCCGGTGTTGAAAGAAAGCGATGCTGCTTTCATTTAATTTGCGTTTATTGCCCGCGCTATCCCCTTAAAATTTAATCAGGATTCACGGCTTGCCCCTTTGAAGCTGCGGCACAAAAAACGCCCAAGGTAATTCTTTTTTTTTCTTCTTTTTTTTTTTTTTTTTTGCTCGAGCAGTATGTTTTGTGGAAGTCCGTTCGCGCATGTCTGGATGCGAATACCTTGCGGATGTTTGTTTTGAGCCAAGTTAACTCTGCAACTGTCTTGTAAAACGTTTAAGGAGAAGGGAAGTAGGCAAATGAAATAAAAACAAAGGTGGACATAAACAAAGCAGCAACGAGAATATATATATATATATATATATATATATATATATATATATATATATATATATATATATATATATATATATATATATATACATTAACATTTAGGAACTAGAAAGCTTTGGGAGTTAAGCAAAAGCAGGCGCAACAAACATAAAATGCCAGCCTCAATTGGGCCCATATTCAAACTAAATAAAAATTTACTAAAACAATTGCAAAGTCTAAAAAACGGCCACTTTGGATTTCTATAATATTGCGTACAAGTTCTTATCACGTGGAACGTTCTTCTTAAACTAATACAACGTGGTAAGCTATCCTATTAATTAGCACACATATGAAAAGGCCGAAATGATGCCAGACGTCCCAGAAACCTCGGGCTCCCGCTGCTAAGCAGCTGGCGTCTTATATTTCGAAATAAATTCGAGTCTCTAAACTCTAAAAAATAAAAGCAAAGACAAAAAGTAACCTTCAGTTCCATTACCCAGGTAGTTGAAACCCAGAAGTTCTTGCTCAGATGAAAGACACCGATCTTCTACGTGAAATTGGCCAGGAACATAATCATGGAATACATGAGGACGGCTTGTCCGGTAAGCCGTAAGGGGAGTTTCTTCAAAATGCTTAGCCATAGAGCGAGCATAGCACAAATAATCTTACTTTTTTGTTCCCGGCCGGAGGCGGCTGGTGTGCTCCACGTGTTTTGGTTCACGCTATTTTGAGCTGGATTGCCTTCTCGTTGCAGAAATTGTAACTGGCGTGGCGAATATTTGCTCTCCACGATAAACCTTTTCTCCTCATTAGTTTCGTAATGCTGTGCCGAAAGGTTTCAGAGCGAAGCATAAACGAAGACGGCATGTGATGTAGGCACTTCGTTTCAAGTTCGAGAGGGAACAAGAGCTATAGTGGCAAAACACCGCACCTGAACGTGCGGAGTCATCGTTTCTTGAGGATTCGATGTCACCCGGCTCAACTAACAGCCTTAACTTTAATCCGAGCCTGCTGTCCGCGATTATAGTGTGACAGAAGCGTCAAGGCTACCCCGTCTAGTGTATCTGTATTGTGTATTTGTATATATAGAGCACGTTTTCATCTCTGCACACGTTTCCAGTAGCATTGTAGACAGGTGCGAATGCCAGACTCTCATATATATTACTTTTTGGTTCGACTTCGCTGTTATAGATAAAGAAAGAATAAACGATTAACGCTGGGACAACACAACCACATCTTTGAAAGTGTTACACTGAGTCGGGTCAAAGCGTGCCTCTATGACAAGAACCTCACGTTTTGTTTTAGGCACTTCACACGCTTACTGAAAGTGCTGTAACTATTTATGATCTTTAGTATACTGTTTTTCAAAGCTTAGCAATAATGTGTTCAGCGAGTCAGGGTCTTCTAAATGTGCCCCTTTGTAGAAACTTGGGTATACGTAGAGCTTTGCAGACAATCTACTTCTATTTACTTATCTAGATCACCGCGACTACCATGTCGATATATGATCAGCTGACTGCAACTTGTTGAAAGCACGCACAAAATGACAATTGGCTGCTCAAGTGGGCAGAGCCGACACAACTCGTTGCCAGTGTTGTGAACGCTGACGAGCGTTCAGACACAGACAATTGATAGCACTTACGCAAAAGCGTCAGCGTGGTCGGACAAAAATCAGGTAAGGCACCAAGAGGTCGTTAGAAGTAGGTGTAACATTTATTCCAGGGCTGCGATTTCTTTCTTCAAGATATATATATATATATATATTAAGTCAAAGATCCGTACTTTCAGAGTTGGTATGCTAGGAGTTTATTGTATGTATTACGACACTTTCGCGGAGAGGGTCGGCTTCGTCAGGAGATGGATATATATATGTAATCGCATTTTCGGCATAAGTGTCATCACAAGCGTTTGGAAGATGACGGCGCGACCAGGGGGATGGGGGGGGGGGGGGGGGGGGGCGTTAATTTGGGGTCGTGCTATGAAGAACAAATGTCCGGAGTATAGAAGACGCAACGTCTCCCCTCCGCCTTCATGCATGAAGATATGGTGTAGCATCGTGACCAATAGACCTTTTTTCGAAAGACTGCTCTGTATCGGCAGCTGTGGAATCCCTACACAATAGCGGGCTAAGACCTCAACGTCACGGCACACTTGTTGCGTTTGGTTGGAATGGAAGGCAAGACACACCCACAGAAAAAGGTGATGCGCGCAGTGACGTTAAACTATCGGCGCTGTCTGACTGGCTCGTCGGCTCCTTGCATTGGCCGCGCTTCGGCGTTCTCTGTGTATAGAATGACTTGCACGTTCCACGAAGTCAGCTGCTCCACCATTGTGCAGTGGTTCCCACATTCCAATAATCGGCACGTGACTTTCGAAAGGGGTCTATTCAGTGACGTATGCCAGGGCTAACAAGATCGAGAATCAGCCTGGTATCACGGAGACACCAAGCGCGCATCGGACAACTCCACCGCGTGGACACCGGGGTCGGGACCTCACCTGTTGCTGGGCGGGCGCCGTGTCATCCATCGCCCGGAGCTTTTCCTCGAGCACGCTCACTCTGTCTTCGAGGCGGTGCAGCCTCACCACGCACAACACGGTCACTGTCACTAGGCCGGCCATGAGGAACCACTGCACCGCCAGGGCGGCCACTTTGGACGCGCGGCTCCACGCCGAGTACGACGACTGCGGAGGAAACGGCGGCGGAGACATGTCGCGTCCCAAATGCAACGTCGACTTGGCCGTCCAGGACGACCTCGGAGACGTCTTCGACGACGGTAGCTGAACGTCCGAGGTGCCCATGACTGGTAAGCTCCGTCTGGTCCGCCGGCGCAGGCGAGGTGCTCAGGAGCGCGTGGTCATCGCGGTACGGTTCGGCGCCGACGTCTCGGCCATGCGTGGGGCCCTCTCCGATCGTCGTCCGCGCGTGCCGGGCAACGACTGGCGGTCGCTTTCGGAACGCCCGCCTTTCGGGGGGCTGCACCCCCTCGCCTCGCACTCGACCGGCGCGCGTCCGCTCTGGAAGGCCTGGGTGTGTCGATACGTCGCCAGACGGCGCCACGCGACGGTGTTTTGGACTAGAGAGCCTAGATTTGAGAGAGATTGCCACTCACGAGCAACGAGGTTGCTCACGAGTCACAACTATTGCATGAGTCGTCGCGTGGCATCGAGGGTAGCGGGTGGACAGGCGGAGACGCTTCCAGACGATCGACGCTCTCACCTCATCTTCGTTCTTTGTACCAGACTTCTACGTAGTTCAACTACTCTACTCAAGGTACTGTAGTTTAACTACTTTTCTGAGTAGTTTAGTAACTTTCATTTACATTTTCTTTTCGGCAATTAGTGGTTTAATTACTTTTTTGAGTAACTTCTACTCAAGTCACAAATTACTTTCGAATTTTAGTGGTTGTTCTGCCTATCTACAAACACTCCTGCACAAAGGAGATAAGATGTTGGAAGATCAGCTGGTATTTGCAAAGAGGGGGAAGTATGCGACGTAGGAAAGGGGGGCAAGAAAATGATCTGGAGAATCCAAACCATTTTCAATGGTTTGGATTCTCCAAACCATTGAAAATCAATGGTTTGGAAAATTATTTAAAAAAAATAATTTTCACAAGACCCCCCCCCCCCCCCCCCCCCTTCCCCCTGACACAACACTGCTACGAGGCGCGGGGGGAGAGGCCGAGTAACTGCGGGATCAGCGCCGAAGACTGTATCTGTGTCCCGAAGCTCAAGGAGGCTTGACCCAATTAAAGAAAGGGCTGGTCCCTGCTTCTGCCCGAACGTAGAAACTCTCGCCCACTACAGGAGGTGCAGGCACTGCATCCTCACTCAAAAGAAGCAACATGTAGCACCTGCTTTGAAACCCATCCGTAGTTCGCGCTGTACTCAAAGAATCGCGTGCTAAAGGGCAACGCAAAGATTACCTTTTTGACGTTGCCTTTCCTCCCAAAACTCAGAATATGCAGATCATCAAAGATTCGTTTGAGAAACCTGTAGTAATTCCCCAAACGTTTTTATATAAAAAATAATAAACAAGCAGTGTAGGGAAATAATAAACAAGCAGTGTAGGGAAATAATAAACAAGCAGTGTAGGGAAGTACTCTAAGTACATGGTACTTAAGGTATTACTGTTTAGAACATTTTTACTTTACTTGAAGTGAATTCTTTGAACATGTACTTGGTATTTTTCGAGGAAAGTAAAACTCCCGACTTCAATGTACATTCCCCGAATTTGAAAACAAAAAATGGCGGAACCGTCGTGTGAAAACGCGCTCTTTCGAGACGTCATCTGGTCATTCCTCTGAGTGAAGTAATGGCGGCTGTAAGACCGATGGAAATAACTGCCCTATAATTTGATTGTGTCAAATAGTTTGCAAGCGAGAGTAAAGCAACTACTCTGCGGCGACTTGACCTTATACAATATTTGCTGCCATTTCCGTAAAAAACTGTTGCACCTCCGATTACCCCCGGAGCAATCCATACCAGTTAAAAAAACACTGACTGTATAGGGAATGAAAGGGCATCATGAAAGATTGTGTTAAAAGTGATTGTACTTTATCTTGAAATATATTGTATTTATAGTACGTTACTTCAAGTACATTGCACCCGGCGTACTTACTGCTTTACTTGAAGTACATAACGTCGCATTTACTTTGTACTTTACTTCAAGTAATTTTAAGATGTACTTCACGCAACACTGTAAACAAGCATGCACTGTCTAAAAAATCAAGCTCAGGCAGTGCTAAACCTCAAAGTAGAAAGGACACATTCGCAGTACATCATTGACCAAACAAACAAGAAGGTACAAAACAATTAGGCACGCAGAAGCAGAACCAGCTATTTAAACATTTCTGTGAAAAAAAAAAAAAGCCAATTCATGTTTGGCTAGCACAATTTCGCTAACGTATCAAAACGTCTGTACTTTCTTTTACCATAAGAAAACATGTAAAAGTAACTTCAAAAGTAATTCGCTACTTTGTCAGGGTAGTTAGTAATTTACTCAATTACTATCTCTGAGTAACTTCTACTCTACTCAAATTACTTTTGACGTCAATACTCAGTAACTTAACTACTTTTTTTGAGTAACTTGTACATGTCTGCTTTGTACTACAAACTCGGAGCATAAACCCTGTGACACCGATCGAGATGTCGGAAACGCTCTCAGATCTAGGCACCAGTGTTGCGGAATGGGCACCCCCATTCCATTCCAATTCCATTCCGGGGAATTGGAGTTTTCGAGAATTCAATTCCTTTCAACTCCTAGGAATGGGGGCACGGGGCCCATTCCCACTCCTGGAATGGCTGAGTCGCTCCATTCCATTCCTCCAATTCCTAAACGCTAAAAGTGTAATTTGACAGCTGCATTACGTTACAGGGTTGGGCAGAAATATTCAGAAATGTATTTAGAAATACAAATACTGGGATAGATGAAAATAGTTGCTAAGATACTGATACTCAAGTCTCAAATATATCTATAAAAATGTATCGTGATACGTATCGGAAATACATCTCAAAAAGAGGCAAAGAGTCTTTGGAAATACAAATACAAGAATACATTTTAGGGAGGGCAGAAATACAAATACTGATAATACAATACATTTTTCAAATTTCTTTGAGACGCCAACTGAAATGAGGCTTTAAGTTTGAAGTGGAAGTTTCTTTCTTTATTTTTTTTCGTCCCGAAATTACTTTTCCGCAGGCTTGGCACTTCGCTTTGAAGGTAGTGGTTCCGGACAAGAGTCCTAAATGGGTTTAAAAAACGTTCCATCAAGGATTGACCGCGGCCCCTTCCCCGGCATCCTGTCTGACTGACCCAGTGATGCGAAAAGACTTCGACCTCTAAAATAAATTCCATCAAGACATCACCACTTCCCTGTCCAATAAGGGCGCCCCTGTCAGCACTGATCACATGACATCACGGTGGGATAAACTAGTATTCTTGAATCTGTAGGTGTTGCCTTGAACATGAAACTTTACCCACGCTGCTGTATCAAAAGACAATGCATACTTTCGTGGTCGCTGATCTCGTTGAAGACTATGCAGGAAGTTGCATTTGGAATTTTCGAGAAAAGTGGACCACCTGAAGCATCCTGAAGCACATGTATTATCTTCTGTTACGGTTGAAAAATCGATATGGTGGCATTCCTGTTGTGACGATCCTTCCTGCCGACTCTCCGCCTCCAACGCATTAATGGCAGTCTTCAAGTTTCGCCTAGCATCACTCAAACAGAGACCTCGTGGATTGCGACCTGAGATGGCCGGCACAGGTGCGAGCTCTTCGAGAAACAGCGCGCTCGAGACGAGTCGAAAGTGTACGAAGTCTGGGTCCGCACAGCGAGGCCACGTCTGGCCTCCTTCCTGGGTATCGGATCACCAGAGCAGCAGGTCACGTTCACGTCGGCTGATGACCTACCAGCCGTGCAATATTACAGGCCAGGCGCAGACGCATTCAGATATGTGTTGAACTTCACTGGTGAAAGGCGCCACCGCCGCCTCCCCCCCCCCCCCCTCTGTTCTTTGCTTTGACACTTGTTTTTTGTATTGCATCTTTTTCTTTTGCGCATAAGTCTGCTAGGGCCTTACGCGGGTTCGCAGTTTCCTGCTCGTTTTATTTCTGAACAACCGACTCCCTGACTGGCTCGGTATAGCTGAACATAATAAATAAATAAATAAATAAATAAATAAATAAATAAATAAATAAAATATAAAGAACCTGACCCATTCTATTCCCATTCCATTCCGGGCAAAAGGCATCTAATTCCATTCCCATTCCATTCCCCTGAACGTTGCCGCCATTCCATTCCCATTCCATTCCGGGGTCGCGAAAATGCGGAATGATTCCGGAATCATTCCAACTCCGGAGTGGTAACTCCGCAACACTGCTAGGCACCCTTGTCTTGAGCTGCTATGAAGATGAACGACTTTGGATTTCTATTACTGTTTGGTTTCCGCGTGCACGGGACATTCATCTGACACGTTTAGGGGACTTAGTGTCCTGTCGCGTTGGGCCCTGCGGAAGGATAATCCGGATTTTTAACCGAACCCTCGCGAGGATTCGGTAACTCTTCGGTCTGAAGCACGATGGGGTCTGAAGCTTCGCAAATACCTCCATTTGTTTGACAGACACGAAGTGAACCCTGGAGCAGGTAATCTTGGACAAAGAGTTGGGAAATATAATATCAAGGTGGTTAAGCTATTTCGATCTCCTTCATGCAGACATCCCAGATGCCATTCGTGGGTTCGAAACGTATATCACCCGAAGCATTGTTTTGATTTTGATTTTATTTTATTTATTAAATTAATATCGTTCACCCCTTTTTTTCAGGGCGGTTACCGGAGTGGAAGAAAATGACATACCAATATATTTCACAGTGTATAAGAGAGTATACAGTACAACCACGCGGATACAAGCACACAAGTTTTAACACACTTTCTGGAAAGGTTTGAAGACACACTCAGAGCGCCAAACAACTTCGCTTCTCCAGCGCTTCCTCAAAGGCAACAATATGTTCTATATTTACAGTATCCTCTGGTAGATCGTTCCATTGTTTAACAGTTCTAACAAAAAACGAATGCTTAAAAATGTCATTGTTTACCCGTTGTATTTCAAAGGCCTTGTTATGCGCACCCCGCAATGGCCGAGTCGAGCGTGGTAGCAAGTAAAGGGAGGTGTCAATGTTCAGCTCGTTTCGAGAGAGCTTAAAAAGAAGCTTAAGTCTGGCAATTTCTCTGCGACTTGACAATAAAGGGATGTTTAGTTCTTTGAGCATTGACGCCACCGAGTCAGTTCGACCATACCTCGAACAAATAAAGCGGGCTGCCAATCTTTGTATTTTTTCTAACTTATGAATTTGGTTCTTCCTATGCGGATCCCACACAGCACAGGCGTATTCCAGAGTTGGCCTTACCAGGGTTGTGTATGCG